GATTCAGCTTCTTGCTTAACATCAGCAGGTGGGCTGTCTAGAAAGCCCGCCTCAGAAAAGCAACCACATCAATCACGGCAAGCACCCTGCAGGTCCACCCTGGGGCACTTCCCTCAAGCCCCTGAGGGTGCAGCTACAGGTGTGCCCAGCAGGCTGCCCGCGGCTGCTCTCCGAGGTGCTGAAGTTCAGTGGGTGTGGTGCTGTGGCCTGGGATCCCAGGGACTCTCACCTTGCTCCCCTTCCCGTGCCTGGCCCCTCCCTCCATTCTGTGCCCGGGACCCGGGGACCTTCACCTCACTCCCCTTCCCAGGGCTGACCCCTCTAGGTGCTGTGCCCTGGGATCCTGGGGACTCCCCACCTCACTCCTCTTCCCAGGGCTGGGCCCCTCCCTCCGTTCTGTACCCGGGGACCCCCACCTCACTCCCCTTCCTGGGGCTGACCCCTTTCTCGGTGCTGTGCCCTGGGATCCCAGGTAACCCCACCTGCTCTCCAGGCCGGGCCCCTCCCTCCGTGCTGTGCCCTGGAATCCAGGGGGACTCCCCACCTTGCTCCCCTTCCCAGGGCTGGCCAGGGCCCTCCCCCTGAGGGTCGGAAGTCCACTTCAACTTCCACCGCTGGCTGCTAAAGTTAAACCACGTTCTGTCTAAATACTTTATTAAGGATCACAGCAGTCTCAGGAAAGGGGGGCGATTGTGAGTCGGCTTCTCCAACAACCAGAGTCCAGCCCCTGCAGGCAGGCTGGTCACCTCCTATCTGAGTGTGAGAGAGGCAGGGAGGGGTCGAGGTGCGATGGACCACTGAGGCAAATGGGGGAGGGGTTCTGCACCTGTTTGTCTGAATGTATCTGCCAAAGTATGTGCCTGTTGGTGGGTTATGTGTTGGGGTGTAACTGCCTCTTTCTCCGGGTCTTTGTGTCTATGTGTGTAACTCTGTCGGTCTGCAAATCTATATGTCTGTGTGTGTTTCCAAGTGACATGGTGGCTGGTGGTGTTTGTGAATGTCACTCTGTATATGTGTTACCTGTGTCCCCATGTTGTCTGCACCTATCTGCCTGTCTCTGCTCCTGGGTCCCCAGGCGTATCCCTCAGATATCATGACCACTTCTGCCCTGACCCTGTGCGTGTGTCTCTTCTGGTCCCTAGTTGTGGAGCTGTGGGCTTGGGTAACCTTGCCCGGGCATTTCTGCCAAAGCCTCTGCTTCATCTCTGGCTCAGTGCCCATCACTGACCACTGCAGGACCCAGGGCAAGGTGGCATGGGCACGGTCCTGCCAACATCACAGCTCGTCCCCTGCAGTCTCCAGCCCCACATGTGCTGTGCTGGACCCTGCTTCAGGCACAGCCCAGGCCAATAGGGCTGTGAGTCCCAGCACCTCCTTCCAGTTCCCCAGAAACAGGGTCTCGTCCAGCGCCGATGTCAAGTTGTCCAGCGTCACTGTCGCGTCGTCCAGAGCCCCCGCCGAGTCCCCTGGCACCAGGCTCTTGGGGTCCAGCGCTGACGTCCCGTTGTCCAATGCCACTGTCAAGTTCCCCAGCGTCGAGTTCCCCGGCACCAGTGTTGAATTGTCCAGCGCTGGCTTGAGCTTGGAGCCTTCCTTGGTCCTGGGGCTGCCTGGAGGTTGTTCTTGGGGTGCACCAGCCTTGGGCAGGGGTCCTGGATGCTCGGAGCCGGGCGCGGTGTCGAGGGCCACGCGGGATGCGGCGTCGTTGTGCAGTGTTCTGGAGAAGACTGGAGGAAGGTTGTGGAGGTTTAAGGGGAGCATGTGGGGGCGGCCCTGCCTCTCTTCCATCACCATACAATTACTAGGAACAGTGAGGCAGGGGCTTCCCCGTCTCCCTCAGGGGCACAGGGTCAGGGGGGTCATCCCAGGCCCACGTACCTCTCACGGGTGTGAAGTCCCCGGGGCTCTTGGCTTTGTTGGGGGTGAAGGGGCTGATGGAGGGGAGGACGATGAGGGCAAAGGACAGCAGCAGGACCTGGCGGAGATGGGGGCGGGGTCACCCCATCCCTCCCCCTCCCCTGCGAGCATGCACATCTCCTAGGCAGAGAAACCCAGGCCAGGCCCCGCCAGGCCAGAGACACCCCACCACCACCACCACCCCCCAGTGCGGCTGGGCCCTGACTCACCGCTATGCAGGTCCCCGCCTGGACAGACTTGCTGCTGGACTGGACCACGAGGGCTTGAAGTTTCTTCAGCTGCTCCAGCAATGACCTTGAGGGACAGGGAGGCCTCGTTCAGCTGCCTGCCCATTCCTGCCCGCCCCCAGCTTCCCGGATGTCTGACACCCAGCCTCCTCGCTGGCATCTGGTAGCACAGTGAGTGGACGGTTGCACTGCTACTGTCAAGACGGTGCCTCTCTGGTGGTTCGAATCCACCAGCAGCCGCACAAGCGGAAAGTGGGCAGACAACCTCCAAAAAGAGCTAGAGAGACAGCTCTGAGTCAGTTGTCACACGATGGGCCATAAGGGTTGGGTTGTTGTGGTTTTTTTAAGTTCTTGGTAGCACAGTGGGTTAAGTATTAGGCCATTAACCTAAAGTTCAAACCTACCAGCAGGTTGACAGTCACGTCTTGGAAGCCCTAAGGAGCAGCTAGCTCCAGGCTGTCTGAATGAGTTGGAATCAACTTGACAGTCTTGGGAGTGTGTGTGTGTGTGTGTGTGTGTGTGTGTGTGTGTGTGTGTGTGTGTGTGTGAGAGTGATATTTTTCCATCCCCCTCATTGCTTTAGCAGATCTTCCTCAGACTTCTCATCCACTTTTCTTCCACTTCCTCTTCTCCTCTCCAGCCAGGCCACTGGACACTTTGGCCAGCCTCTGCTGCCCCCTAGCGTTCACACTCCACACAGCAGCCAGAGGGCTCTTACCAAATCGGAATCGGCCCCTTTGACTTCCCGCTCCCTGTCCTGGGCTCTCACCTCCCTGTGGGAAACAGTCTCATCCCTCCAGCTCTTCACCTCGCTTGATAAATTTGTCTTAACTTACTGTTGTGATGTGCCGTCAAGTCGAGTACGACTCATAGTGCAGTGACCCTGTGCACAGACATGAACCCTGTGCTGTCCTGTGTCAGCCTCACTGTCTCTGACACTCAAGCCCATCGCTGCAGTTAATGTATCAGTCCTTCGCGTTGAGGGTCTTCCTCTCTTCCGCTGACCCTCCACCTTTCTAAGCACGCTGTCCCCTTCTAAGGAATAGCCTCTCCTAGCAACATGCCCGAAGTCTGAGAGATGAAGCTTCACCATCTTTGCCTGCAGGGAGCGTTCTGGCTGCACCTTCTCTGAGACATACGTGTTTGTTCTGGCCGTCTGCGGGAAATGCAGCGCTCTTGTATACCGTTCGCCTTGTTTATATTCCCTCGTGTTGGGAGGATTGAGTTGGCTGTGTTCATTACCACAGGTGCTTTGAGGAGCTCTGGTGAGGCTGTAGTTAAGGCATTCGCTGCCAACCACAGCATGAGTTCAAACCCACTGGCTGCTCTGCAGGAAGGAGGAAGATGTGGCCGTGAAGGAAGACCACTAGTCCGGGGAACTCTGGGGCAATTCTGCTCTGTCCTGTGGGGTCGCTATGAGTCCGGATCAACTCGATGACCGGTGGGTTGGGCTGTGGATGCTTTTTGTTCCTTGTCCTGAGTAGGACAAATGTTTAAGTACTTGACTCCCAGCTGGGTGGTTGATGGTTCAAATCCATTGTCCTGAGTAGGACAAATGTTTAAGTACTCGACTCCCAGCTGGATGGTTGATGGTTTAAATCCATCCAGAGATGCTTTGGAAGAAAGGCCCAGGCGGATTGGCTCCCGAAAGGTCACAGTCTTGGAGCAGTTCTGCTCTACACAGGAGGGGTCACCGTGAGTTACAGGCAACTCACAACAGCGTGCCTGCCATGTCCAGAACACTACATGGTGCAGAACAGATAGAGTGTCCTATTTTCCGTAGTGTTCTAGAACATTCTAGACATAGTGACTGAATGCATGGAATAAATACACCCTCTGATAGAGTCATTTGTCATTTTCTCATCCATTGCACTTCTAGCCTCAGGACCTTTGCACATCCATTTCCCCCACCTGGAGCTGCCTTCCCCTAGGGGACACATCCGTCAGTGCTCCGAGTCCAATCCAGACCTGCTCCTCAGTGCAGCTTCCACTTCAGCAGCGAGTGTCTGAGCTGGTACTCCCTCCTATTCCCTGTCACCATGAAGAATGCCCCACCTTGTCCCCTTCTCCTGCAACAGAGTCGAGAGCTGCCCCCACCCCCCGTTCTTGTTGTCCTTGGGGGACCCAGACTCACAGGTTCTGCTTCTCAAGATGCAAGACCTTCCTCTGCAGCTCCTGGTTCTGGGCGGTGCACGCAGACATCCTGCAAGGACAGCATCACGGTGACAGTCAGAAGGTGCCTGTCATTGCCTGGCACAGCTGGCTTCCTCCTAATGAGGGAACCCAACCCCAGGGAGTGGAAATAACCTGTCCAAGTTCACCCAGAGAGATCGTGACAGAGATGGGATTTAAACTCGTGTCTGCCTGGCCACCAGGTCTCATTTCTACATTGATGTGGGGAGTCCACTCAAGTCTGAAGGTCAGGATTGGGACTATAGAATGCCAAACTCAGGCAGTGTTAGTTATGAAATGGCCTAGCGGTGGCTGGGAGTCCAAGGAGACTTGCATTTCAATCCTGACCCGCCCCATGACCTTGAACCCTCCAATCCTCTGATCTCAGCTCTCACATCTGTAAAATGGGGAGACGATGACTGAGATCACATAGTGATTGCGAGAATGACAGGAAACCACAACCATCAGAGAATTAGATTTTACTTTAAAGAAGAACATTGGGGGTCATTCTCTCTAAGGTTCTGGAGTACAGCCTGGGGGCCCTTCTTTTTCCATTCTGTATACATCCTGAATGTTGTCAGGGCCCAGACTTCTCAAATATGGGCCTGAGATGGTCAAGTCAGGAATGAGAGCATGTATGCATGGAGAGGACATTGAGTTAGTGTCTCTATTTAAAGGCAGAGGTCATGGAACATGGAGGACAAAGATGGGAGGCCAGAGGCTCACTGTAGGCCACAGATTAGAAGCTTTGGGACACATCTCCATCTTGAAACTTGAGACTCTTGATTTTATACATATCATGGGAGGCAGATGAGATTCTTTGTTCTCCAGGGAGATGCTGAAGCTCTGGGGTCACCTTCCAGAAAGTGAACATATAGCCAGCAGGGAAGAGAAGAAATCCCCCACTGGATGAGCCTCTTTCAAAAAAACTCATGGGACAAAGATGAATTCATCATATAAATTAGAAGGTACAGAGGACCAGATTATGATGGCAGAAGTGAAAATAAAAATGTATGGGATTCAGTAAATGTGGTCGTGAGAGGACACTGTATATCTCTAATTTAGAGTTTCATGACTGGAACACACTCACGTAAAAACGAGCAGAAGAACAACAGTCTAACACTCCCAAAAGTAGAAATCATTAAAATACAAAACAAAAATATAATGAAGAGGGGGCCAGGAATCCTTTCTTCAAGAAGTACACAAAAATAGACAAACTTCTAGAAAGATGAAGAACCAAAAGAGGCAGAAAGATAGAAGGCACGAATAAGCAACCTAGGAAATTAAAAAGAAGGCAGAACTACAGATATCACAGAGGTGAAACAATAATAGGAGAATACGAACAATTTTATGTCAGTAAGTTTAAAATGGACAAGTTCTCAGAGAACTATCACATCCCAAAGCAGACTCAAGAAGAAATAGAAAACCCAAATAGACCTGTAACATCAGTAATGCACTTTTTGGGTTTCTATTCAAGAATTATGAGCAGCCAGTCCCCTCAGTATCTTAAATGAGCTAAGAGAGAGGTGATGGGCTTGGACTTTGGTGTCCAGTTTTTAAGTTGAGGAAGTTCTGAAAATGAACTGCCTTCTCCCCCTGAACCCCAAGAAGACAGCTCTGAGGACTCTTAACTGCTTTAGAGAAGAAATGCATGTTCTGTTTTCAGGTAGAGTCAGGACAGAGTGGGCAATACCTTGTTCTTTAAGGGGTCACATTTTCTAGGAGCTGCAAGGACCCCCTTGTCCCATGTCTTCTTAAGGTATCTTTTCTATCTCTTTGCAATCAGTATGAAAAACACTCCCTCCCAGAGAAGAAACAGCTCTAATTGTGTCAAGTCCTAAAACCTGTGATCCTAGTCCTGTTTCTTCCTATGGGGCCTCAGTTTCCCCTGGAGCGAGAGACTCAGCCCTCCCCCCCCCCCATTACCGAGTCTCCAGGCAATCGATATATTCCTTCTTCTTCTTCCTGCTTTCTTGAGCTGACTGTTTGTTCCGAATTTTCCGGCGGATTTTTTTCAGCACTCGCTCCTCATACTGTTATAATGAAAGTGAGTCTGGGGTCAGAGCGGATGGAGGCTTCACACCATCCTTTTCCACGTGAGTCATCCCAGACCCAGGGGATTGGTGTGAGGGGTAAGAGGTGGGACAGACTGGTGGTGATGACTCAAACCAAAGACCAGCTCTCCTCTCCCAGAATTTGTCAGGAATCTCTAGGAGGCTCCTGGGTTTCAGTAAGTCTTTCCAAGTAGTGACTGGTTACCGGACTCCAGGTCCTGGTACAACTGCACCACCTTGTGGCCGTATCAAAACCAGCACCTCAACCCCAAGGTTGAACCAGTAGATGTTGGGAGCTATTGAGTTGATTCTGACACTTAGTGACCTCATGCACAGAGTAGAACGGCATCATGGGTTTTCAAGGCTGTCGTTTTCACTGGAGCAGACCACCAGGTGTTTTTCCCTTTGGAACATCTGCTCGACTTGAACCACCAACCTCCTAGTTAAATTGAGCCATTAAAGTTCCTTCTATAAAGATGACGACCAAGAAAGCCCGCATGTTCTATTCTGCCACGTGGAGGCGCTGTGAGTCAGACTCGAATCCGTGGGACCCAGGAGCAACAAGGTGGGCAGGAAGCTTTAGGAAAGGGGGGGGGAGAGGCCCAGAGGCAGGGACCCCACCAACTCGCCTTGGTGAGGGGCAGCTGGGTGGGCAGAGTGATGCCTTCTTTGGCTAGCAGTTTCTTCTCGTCCTCTGTCAACACCAGCTCCTGGGAGTGCCCAGGTGCAGGTCGCATCAGGTGAGGGGCTGCCAGGTGATGCTGTTGCTAGGGTCAAAACAGGCGATTAAGTTGGAGGCGTGAAGACTCACAGCTGAGCTGAGCCTCCAGGAAATCAGAGGAGTGTCTGATTTGAGAAGCACCCGATTCAGGCTCTGCAGAGTCCCCACTGGCAAGGGGACCCAAAACAGCCAGGATAGAACCTTTTGTTCCAGGAATTCTCCTTCCAGGAATGTGTGCTATTTGTACAATATCCTTATAAATGCAGAATGATGTGTGAACAAGCCTATCCTTTCATCAGATAAAGAACTATTCAGTAACCATTTATTTTAAAGTAGAGAGTACCTATGACCCTTTTTTTGAGATTTTAATGATATTTTATACAGAACTTGGCTTTCCATTCATTCATTGTTGCACATTTTCCTCCCTGCCCTGCCCCCAAGTTTGCTTTTCTCTTTGAAAAGAAAATTCTTTCATTGTTGTACAATCCCCCCTGCCATCCCCCGTCCACTTTACTATGCAGCTCTTATTCTGGACTCTTGTCATGAATAAAACCTAATCATATATTCGTTTTAAGCAGTTCTATCCTCATCTGTTTCAATGCAGTGTACATCATTTATCCCCTCTTTTCTTAGTTTCCTCTCCACCCCCATGTCACTCCTATTTTACAACAGTGGCCCTATGCAGTATTTGTCTTTTTATGATTGAGATATTTCACTCAGCATAATATCCTCCATGGTCACCCATTTTTAATATTCTATGAGTTCCTTGTTTTTCAGTGTTGCATAGTATTCCATTGTGTGAATATACCACAGCTTCTCTATTCATTTGTTGATAGACACTTGGGTTGTTTCCATCTCTTCGCTATTGTGAACAATGCAGTGATAAACATGGGTGTGCATATATCTGTTTGGGTGACAGCTGTGATTTCTTTATGGTATATTCCCAGTAGTGGAATTGCTGGGTCAAACGGTATTTCTATTTCCAACTTTTTGAAAAAGTGTCATACTGCCTTCCATAATGGTTGCATTTTATACTCCCTCTAACAGTGAATAAGGGTTCCAGTTTCTCCACATCCTCACCAGCATTTGTTGTTTGCTGCTCTGTTGAATTTTGCTATTCTTACTGGTGTGAGATGATATTTCATAGTTGTTTCAGTAACCATTTATTGAGCACATGCTACATGCCAAGAGGGGATCTGTGGAGCAGTGGTAGAATTCTCACCTCTCATGAGGGGACCTGGGTTCGATTCCCAGCCAGTGCACCAGATGTACATCACCACCCTGTCCATGCAGGCCTGCACATTGCTAAGAGGCAGAACTTTCAGGTTAAGATGACTAGGAAGAAAGGCCTGGCAGTTGGCTTCTGACAGTCATCAAGTGAAAAAGCTCATGGGTCATAATGCCCCTGTCCTCACTGTGATCTGCTCCCCAGCTGGTCTGGGGGTGAGGGGGGACAGGCCATGGTGCCTTTGGGCTCTGCGGTGTGGGGATCACTGTTAGTCACAGCCACAGCCACTAAGCGAGGCCCTAAGCCCAGGAGATGGAGCACCCAGGACTGCAGTCCACAGACTCACACTGGATGTGGCCATGGGCGAATCCCAGCCCCTCTCCCATCTCAGGAATGGGGGAATTGACTGGAGCCTCAGGAACCCCAGCAGCCCTCCCAACTCCAACACCCTTGGAGCTGGGGAGGCAGCGCTCACCAGGTCTCCGCTGTTCCCCGACAGGAGAAGTTCTTTCACTGTGAGGTCATAGCGTGTGGGCGAGTTGGACAGCTCGACCTGCTCCTCCGTGTACAGGCATCCTCCCGTGCCCCACATGTCTGACCGGGTGGACACAGGAACAGAGAGGGGCTCGGTGGGTGGCTGAGCTCACAGCTTCCTCCTCCTCCAGGAAGACACCCTGATTGTCCCTTAGCTTTTCCTTCCTCCTCCAGGAAGCCTCCCAGATTGAGCCCTAGTTCTTTTCTCTCCTTCCTCCTCTTCCTTTTCTGGGAAAGCTCCCTGGCCGAACCCTATCTCATACCTCCACCAGGAAGACTCTTTGAGGCTGATTGAGCCCCAATATGCTTAGCACTTGAGAACTCTAGCTTTTAGCAGAACTTGGGGATCCCTAGTGCCAGAACTGAAAAGGATAGCCCCCCATCAGTGCCTCAGTCCCCCCACCTTGATGTAAAAGGGAAACTCAAATCCATCAGGGTATGTCCTGGTCTGTCCCACAAGGTCAAAGAAGAGTGGGGACACTCCCAAGGGACCCACTGCCAACCCGAGAGGGAGTGGCTGTTATCGGGGCCAGGCCTTATCTCGGGAAGGGGGCAGGGGCGAGGTCTGGCTCACCACTCCCTCCCTCCCGGGGTTTGGCACACAGTAGGGCAGCTCAAGAGCACACCGTGCAGCCTGGGCTCAGCTCCCTCTCTGAATCTTGGGCTCATCGCCTCAATAATGGAACCAGAAAGTCCCCTCAAGTACGAGGTTCAGTGGATGAAAGATACCACAGGGCACTTATCTCCAGTTGGAGTGCTGAGCCAGGTACCCCAAGAGCGCTCGGCCAGTATTCCAAGGAAATTATTATCATTACTGATCTTCTGGGAATGTCTTCATGTGTCCCCTTTCTTCAGGTCTAGAAGGGGTACCCTGAGACCTGGGACCCCTAAAACCACACGTTCTTATTGTACATCTACTGCGAGCCACGTATAGGGGCACGAAGATGAGGGAGATGCACTCCTGCTTCAAGAACACTGAAGTTCGGGCTCTAACCTCATGGGGACTCAGTACTACCATCTGGAAAATGGGCTCACAGTTGCACACACCTCTGAGGGCAATTATAATGTTACACAAGAGAGTGAGAGCTGTCGGCAGACACTCCGCAGAACTTACCCACGTCTATGGCCACAGAGGACTCGAGCAGTGGGGTCACTGGTCCTGGGGGCCTGGCAGGGCAGTGGAGACCAGGACCATAGGAGGGGCACAGCCCCTTGCCAGGTCCAGGGAGGTGGCCTCCTGTGGAAGCAGCGGCAGGCCCATTGCGTGGAGGGGTGTCTTGGGGGTCAGAAGGTAGGTCATCTGAGATACCACTGTCACTGGCTGCAGGGGACCAAAGTGGAGAGCTGGACACTGAGTCTCTGGAGCCCAAGATGGACGAAAGGAAGTCATCAGGATCAGGGCACGGCTGGATCTGCTGGACAGGAGCAGGAATGAGGCGGTCGGTCACCTGTGATGACAAGGCCACCCCAATATGATGACAGGGTCATCCCAGTGTGATGACAGGGCCACCCCAGACTGATGAGAGATTCACCCCAGTGTGATGACAGGGTCACCCCTGAGTGATGAGAGATTCACCCCAGTATGATGACAGGGTCACCCCTGAGTGATGAGAGGATCACCCCAGTGCAATGCCCTCTGCTCTGACCCCTCAGTGTCCTTCCCACAACCTGGAGCTCAGCTGCTCCCTCTGGCCCCCTTCCCACTGCAGCCGGAGGAGGCTGAGGGGAGTGTGGAGCCAGGGTGCTTGCAGGGGCCTCACCTGGTCCTCAGTCTGTTCCCAGCTCTCGCCCAGCTCGACATGCCTCAGGACGCCATCCTGCCGGTCAAACAGGAGGTCCAGGAGCTCCAGGCTGTCCATGGGACCCAGGGGACAGGCAGGGGAGGCCATCTGGGTGGGGAGGGGCAGGCGTGAGGGCCACTTGGACCCTTGTCCTCCCACCTCTTCACACCCACCTCCCTAGCACCTGGCAGGCCCCTCGGACCAGTTCCCCCTGCTGGGCCCAGGGCTGGGCAGAGCCCCTAGGCTTCCAGCGGTGAAAGGCAGTCTGTTTAGACAATGGAAGGTGTGCTGTGGGTCAGGGGTCCAGCCCTCAGCTGTGAGCTCCAGGCTGGTGATTCAAACCCACCCCAGTGACTCAGCGGAGGAAAGAGCTGGAGACCTGTTCCTGCAAAGATGCCTTTAAAAAGCAAAACCCCACAGAGCAGTGTGGCTTCCAGCTCCTAGCGAGCCTGAAGGACAAAGGACAGAGCGGGGCTGCCCAGACGTGGCCATGGCCATGGAAGCAGACCACCCCATCTTGCCCCATGGACCAGGCTGGTGGGCTTACACCACTGGCCAGCCTGTGGTGAGCAGTTTTCTGTAACCAGCAGATTAATCTAAAAGACAATCAAACAAAAAGCCAAACCCCTGCCATCGACACCTGGCGACGCTCCCCCAGATATCTGAGAATAAATCCAAACAGTAGCCTCTTCATTCTCCTGTGGAGGGACTGGGGGACATGAACCACCAACCTTCAGGTTAGCTGACCAACATGTAGTTGTTATGGACCCTTGAGATGGAACCAACTCGTAGCTGACCCTCCAGGGAGTATTACAGGCTATAATTGGCACTGGAGGAGATTGGCCATGTTTCTCCCATGGAGCAGCTGGTGGATTCAAACCCAGTGCCTTTGGGTTAACAGAGCAGCTTCTTACCACTGAGCCACCAGAGCTCCCTGACACGTAATTGTTGTTGATTGCCTTTGAGTCGAGGATGACTCACAGCAACCCTATGAACAAAAGGCCTGAAGCCCCTCTACAACTATCAACATTTATCAAGCTTATCATCTATCATTTATCAGCTATCGACATTTATAAGTTCATAGAGTTTCCAGAGGCATGTGGTTTAGGAAGTGGATGCCGCTCCTGCTTCCAGACATGTAACTACCACCCAGGAAACCCAAGGCAGTCGGTTCTCTATGGCACAGCATTGCTGAGTGGGAACGGGCCCAAAGGGGCTGGACAGCAGTAAGACCAACAGGGCCCCTTCCATGGGTCCCTCGGGGCTGACGGATCTAGCTGTCCCCACACCTGCTCGAGGCCCCTCTCCCAGGAGGACACTTAGAGCAAGAGCCACCCAGGCTGTAGGCCAATCTTGGCCACAGCTTTTTCTCTCTGGGCCTCAGTTTTCCCGTCTGTTCAATGGGACTAGGCTCACCTTTCCGAAGGCTGCTAAATCCCCATTCGTGAGCCAGATTCTTCTCCAGCCACTTCCCAGGTCTCTGCTCAGCGGCGCCCACCCCACCAAAGAGCTCCAAGGCCTCCAAGTTCTCACTGATTGTCACCACCCCCAAGGATGCTGAAATAGTCCCTGGGCACTCCCAGCCCACCCCCACGTGCCGATTGGCGGACAGGGTGAACGGACAGGGCCAAGGGCCAGTGACATGGGGCCAGGCTGGGGGACGGGAGGGGAGACCATTATCTCAGGCTTGTGCTTTTCCAGGTAGCTGGGGGCAAAGGCCGAAGTCTGGGCGCCTCACTCTGCCTTGACCTCTACCCTACTTACAGGACTGCCTCTCTTTGGAGTCGCCGGACGTCAGGTTCCAGGGTGGCCTGCGGGCGCTGGCTGGAGCGTCCACTCCCAGGACTGACAAAACCAAAGGGCTGCCCAGGCCATTGCGGGAGCTGGTCATCATTGAGGCTGCCGGGAATGCCCTCCCCTAGCCCACTGTCAACCTCATACCCACCCTTCAGGGCCGCCCCCGAGTCCTTCATGACCAAATCCACACCACCCATTCCTTCTAGCATCGTCTGTTGCTCTTTGTCAAAATGTACTGATTAGGCCGCCTCACGGCCTTTGCACTTGCTTGTCCCTCTGCAGAGAGCTCTCCTGGTAGCCCCATCCCCTCCCAACTCTCTATCAATATGTGCACAAGAGGCGCCTGGTGGCATGATCTGTAGCATGTTGCTCTGCTCACCGAAAGGCTGCATGTCTCTCCAAAAGACAGCTTTGGAGACCTGATGTCCCTATGAGTCAGACTCATCCAAGTCCCAGGGAAGAAGGCTCGGAGCTTGTTAATTTGCAGTCACACCAATTCCCACTCAGGGTGGCCAGCGTGTGTGACATGGAATTGGGCTTCATGGGATTTTCAAAGCTGTGACCTTTCTGAAGCAGATTCTAGGCCTTTCTTCCTAGTCTGCCTTTGTCTGGAAGCACCTCCGAAACTGGACCCTACAGCTATTTGAAATCTAACTTCAGCACCATAGTAACACACAAGCACAGTAACAAAGTAACATGACACCATAAAGACACAAAAGCACAGTAAGAAAGTAACATTAGGGTGTTACAGAGGCAGGAAATATTCCTGTTAGCCATCCCCTGGATACAGAGTGTATCTGTTCAGAAATGGATCACCAGGCTTTTCTTCCGAGGCACTTCTGGGGAGAGTCAAAGTGCCAAAGTTACAGCCAATATTTGAGTGGTTAAACATCTGTGCCACCAGAGGCTCCATGATGGTATTAACAGAGCTCCTCACTATTTGAGACTTTATTTATTGCCTTTTTTTCTGTCTCCTCTCCCACCACTTGACTGTGGTGGTGGTGGGCACCACGGTCCACGCTGATGCACGTGGCAGAGGAGAGCTGCCCCACTGAGACCCCTCAGCCATTGTATTTACAGGAGCAGATCACAGATCACCTGGGCTTTTTCTCTTGAGCCCCTGGGAGAATTCAACGCCCCAGTCTTCATCGTAGCAGCCAAGTGTTAAACCATTGTGCCATCAGAACTCCGTGTGACTATTTCAGGGTCCAAGAAGAGTGTGTCTCATTCGGGGCTGGGTCCCCGTGTCTGAGATGTTGCTTGGCACACAGCAGGTGCTCCGGGAGCTCTTCCTTTGCCTTCTGTGTTCTGGACACAATGCTACGTTCAAGTGGTGATGACAGCATCCTCGGCACTCCCCAGGAATTCACAGCCTGGATATGTTTATGATCGCCATGGATGAAGGTCATGGGAATTTAGCAAGAGCCTCCCAAGTGTCAGCAGGTCCTGGGCAGTGGGCATGTTCAGCCGCTAACAGAGAGGTTGTGTGCTCAAGACCACCTAAAGGCCCTCGGAAGAAAGGCCTGGTGATTTGCTTGTGAAAATCGGTGTTTGTCAACCTTACAGTACTGTCAGGAGCAGGAATTAGGGGCAGCTGGTGGGGACTGTGACGGACTCGATATTGGAGAAAAGAAATGCATCAGTGCACTGTCACAGGAGCTGCACCCCAAGGGACGTTGGTGATGGCGGGGGGCATTTCAAGGAGCCCCGATGGTGGTGTGGATTAAGCGAAGGCCCACCCACCAAAAGGTCAGTAGTCTACCAGCTGCTCCATTGGAGGAAGATGAGCAGTGGCTTCTGTAAAGATGGAGCCCTGGGGACCCATGGGAGGCCCTTCTCCTCTGTCCTCCAAGGATCCTGTAAGTCAGAGACATCGCTCCGTGTGACAGCCGGGGTCACTGTTGTTGTTGTGCCATGGGGTCAAAACCAACCCACAGCTGGCCCCCAACTGGGTTTTCAGAAATCACATAGGAGGAGGTGGCCCCTCTTTTCCCCTGCAGAGCAGCGAGTGGATTTGAACTGTGTGCCTTTGGGACACAGTGCAGCTCCTTACCACTAGACCACCAGAGCTCCCCACAACTGGGGTGGAGGGGTGCTGCTGGCGTCCAGCACACACACCAAGAATGCTCACTGCTCAAACCCCTCCGGGGCAGACCTCCCACCGTAGAGGACAGCTGTCCCCAAATATCAATGGCACCAGGATGGGGGGCTGCCACATAACCACCCCCCTCGGGGTTTTACTTCTCAGCTGCCCCCAAGTCCACAAGGACTCCTGGCAGTCCCTGGAGGGTGCAGGTGGGCCTGTGCTGTCTGGGGTGGTCAATTGCAGGGGCTTTAGATTAGATTGTCAGCACTTCCTCCTGAGGCTCCCTGGGTGGACTAGAACAGCCGGCCTTGTGGTGACACCCCAGCACTCTCTCTGTTGGCAGCGTCCAGGGAGGGGCTCTCCCAGCCTTCTGGCTGGCCGCCTCTGGGCTCTTTCTGAACCGCGCTCTGCAGATTTTTGGGGACTCGGTTTGGTCCAGCCCGGCTCCACTGACCCCAGCCGCCGATGTTTACGAAGCTTTGTGGGGTTGGGCACGCTTCCAAGGCAGGGTCTAGGAGAGCTGACGAAGTAGCAAAGTCTCACTTCTGGACTTCTGTCTGCCCCTCCCTTCCCTTCGTTTATTGCTCTCAGGAGCTCTGGTGCCCTTGGGACCTCAGTCTCTTCCTCTTATCAAATTCTGCCAGAAGAAAGGATGTGACATTAGTCATGTGAACTTTGGCAAGCGTTTAGCCCACCCCGTGCGCCTGATTCAGGCCCCGGTCCTTGTAGTCACACTCGCTATGCCTCGGAGAGCGGGACGATGAATAAGGATGACGGGAGGATTGATGCCTTCAGGCTGTGGTGGTGGAGAGGAGCCCTGGGCATCCCTCAGACGGCCAGGAGAACGAGCGGATATGTCTCAGAGAAAGCGTAGTCACAGGGCTCCTTGGAGGCAAAGATGATGAAGCTTCATCTCACCTACTTCAGGCAGGTTGCCAGGAGAGGCTGTTCCTTGAAGAGGGACAACACACTTAGAAGGGTGGAGGGGCAGTGAAGGGGAGGAAGACCCTCAGCCAGGTGGATTGACACAGTGACCGCTGCCATGGGCCTTTGTGTGTCAGGAAGCGTGAAGCTGGTGCAGGACAGATCTACTGTCCACAGGGTCGCTGTGAGTCACCCTTGACATGGTGACACCTGACAGCAGCAGTCCTCCCGTCGAGGGCGCCGGCAGCTGGAACCTTTCCTATGGCAGTCTCGCCAGCCCCCCTCGAGGAAGGTTTGTTTT